CCTCCAGGAATCAACTGCCAAGTATAATTTCTGCTACATTTTGCAAGCTGAAAATAGTCAAAGCAACATACCGAGACCCTAATTTCTAGACAATTGAATGTATTAATAAGAGTATTAATTTACTATTGTTAGTTCACATACAGTAGAGGCCAAAATTGTGGAAACCTTTTGGGAAAAGTATATTTTCTAAAATTAGCTAATAACATCACTTTTTTGGGGAGTAGTACCATAAAATTATATATCAATGGAAAGATAATTTAATCAAGAATGTAATGCAATAACTTTTATGAAGGATTTGCTATTAGAATAGCAGTTACAGTGTAAAGAAGAAAAGTGAAAAATATAGAAAAAAACAAGATATACAAAAATTATCACGTCAGTTAATACTTTGTTGGGTAACCTTTAGTATGAATTACGTCCTTACAATGTTTTCCCATGGAGTGAACCAAGTCTTTTAGTTCTGCAGATGTTATAATGTGAAACCAAGATTGAATTATTACTTCTATTAACTGGGTTTTATTGCTGGGTCGCTTCTGACTAACAAGTTTCTTTAGTCGGCTCCATAGATTTTCAATTGGGTTAAAGTCTGGGCTATTCCCAGACCATTCCAGCAGTGGAATATGATTATCTTGAAACTCAAAAAAAAAAAAAAAAAAAAAAAAAAAGTGGTGTTATTAATCATCAAACCTCAAAAATACACTTTTCCTAAAAGGTTTCAGCAATTTTGGCTACTACTGTATGCCTAAACTGGTGCTCTTCTGTCTAGAAGATGGCTCTTCTAATGCAGCACATCTGGGACATCAAACTGAGAGAAGTCAGTATAGTTGCCCTTTCCTATTGCCCCACTATATGACTGATGAGGAATTTGATTTGGTTTGATGGATTGCCATACAATTCATTCCTGATATGATCGCAGACAATTTGATAGAGTTCTATATAAGTGGAAGGCTTCTGTTTGTTCATTTGAATGAGAAAGATCTTAATTTTTCTCAAAAAAGTTACTTGTAAAGACATTTCTGTTGGTTCATAACCGGGCATGTGGCATTTGGAAAGATGTCACATTGTGTCTTATGGTGAAGGTTTTCAGGCAGTAAACCATAGAGATCAAGTGGAGAAAGTACAATGAGGGTTTAGGATTATGGTGAATAAAAAATTCCTCCTGGCAACGAACAATGGAAAAACACTTGAATACAAACACAAAAGGAAGGCAGACAGCAGATGCTGGGAAGGAGCGGTGAGGACAATGGATAGAAGAAAGAAGTGAATACCATCAGTTTTATTTTTCTGTCAGAAAGGACAAAGATGGTTGTTTTCCTGCTCTAGAAATAGTTTGTTTTTCTGTGGAAGGAGATCTATAATGCAACACACAGAAAAGGGAGCAGGTGTGCAGTTGAAAGAATAAAACGAATGGCTTCAATCAACAAATAGAAAAGCACAGAGCCAGATGGGGAGGGGTGGATGGTTAATTAGCTGGATCCTCTTTTAAGTTCTCAGGCCCAGAGATGTCCTTTTTCTTCTTCTTCAGAGGTCTTCTTTCCTGAAGCTACAGAAATCAGCCAAGAAAATTCTGTGACTCCTATGATGCAGCCCTCTGGGGCACATGGGATATGGGAGTGCAATCCTGCTCCGTGTTCAAAGTGATACTCTGTAGTTGCTTAACAATTTCATAAAATCCCCATAAAATAGCTTTTCCCAGCACAGTTATATTGCAGTGTAACTCTCAAAATTTCCAGTCAGCATGGTCCCTTGGGGAGTTGGAAGTAATTGAAGTAATTCCTTTAATGCAACCTCCTGGCCTTGCCGTATAGAGATATGTGAGCAGAGGATTCATCCCCCAATATCATAAGAAACATGAAACTTTTTGTTTTAAAGATAAAGTGTAGAAGTACTTTTATGAGTAATTGTAATGGTGTGTGAGAATGACCTTGGGAGATAGGGGGAAGAGCCACAGCTAGGGAACAGTCAGATAAGAGGCAGCTTAGGCCAAGAAAGAAATATGGGCATGGGAAACATTTCAGAAGGGACCTTCCCTAATTTCTTTGGGGGGAGATTTACTTTCAGAATTGCAAGACTTTGTTAATGTTGCCCTACAATGAAGTAATTAGTTCATCTGGGTGTGCGTCCTGTCTGGACTACCTCGCCAAGCTGACAGTAATTTTAAAGATGAAAATATGAATTTTCAGTGCTGTAGAAAAATATAGAGCTCTCCAGATCATTCTGAAAGAGTTTTTCCCCCTCTCAAATGAATTCCAAAAGATAATATAAAGCTCTGGATTGACCAGAAGATGGTACTAGTCAGCTGCAAATTTTTTTTAAAGAGATTGGAATAGAATTTATAAAGGATTTGGAATAGGATTCAACTTATACAAGAAAACTATAGGAGAATTGATATTGTTATGCTCAACCTGAAGAAAGGTAAGGGCTAAAATCATCCATAATTTACTTGCTGTACAAAGAAATAGAAATATGAGCCAATGAGAATTGACTTTGTACCATGCAGAAAACAAATTAAACCTAGCCCAGATTCCTAGCTAAACATTTTATCTATTTGGATTTATTTGCATGATATCTTAGGTGTAGTACAATAAAAAAAAAAACCAAGAATCAAACAACCTTCTGGTTTCCCACTGGAAAACTTTCCCCCCCTCTTGCTTTTTGCTTCTAAAGATGCTCATAGGATAAAGCATAAGGTCCCAAGGTTTATAGCAGATAATCCTCCATTAAAAGACTTAGTGAGTCACAATCCTTAGTTTTAAGAGCCATCAGAAGATACTCCTCAGCTGAAGAGAAGCATCGAGTTCAGTTTGGTGTAAAGACACGGGGTATAAAGGTATCTCAGGTTTATCACATGCTGCTGATGGGCACATTTTAGACTACGAATGATCCAAAAGGTGCCCATCAGCAGCATGTGATAAGGCCTGAGATAAAGCCTTCTGTGCTATGCTGAAATGTGCAGTAAATTTAATGATTCTTGGTTTAGCTAATTTTGGCTGTAGTGAACCCATGTTTTGCTTGGATTAATCTCTCATTTAATAGACCCTCCATTTAATACACTTAAATAGTTTTACTGCAAATACTGCAAATAACACCAAATCAAATATGTAATTATTCAAACTATGTAAAGTGGGGCAAATCATGTAGATTTCTCCCAAGTGAACTATTAATTGAGGTTTTCCTGTAATTTTTTAAAATTATAATCAATAGGCCCTAAATTACATCTAAATATAATAATCATTACATCTCCTTTTTCTTTTTTCTTTTTACAACTCGTAATCCCTTAATTCAAGGTAGAGTCAGGGCAACTGAATGGAATTGAACATTTACTGGCCAGATGCCCATCCTGATGCCTGCATGGAGTTCACAACACAACCACTTCACCACAAGACCACCATGTGGCTCTACATCTTTTTTTTTTTCAGTTATTGAAACTATTTAGCTTTTGAAGATGAAGATATCTAAGGGGCCACCATAGAAAATATACATAAGCTTTAGAGAAGCAGAACATTCTATCCAGTGGTGGGATTCAGCCAGTTCGCACCACTTCGGGAGAACTGGTTGTTAACTTTCTGAGCAGTTTGGTAAACTGGTTGTTGGAAGACATCATTAGGGCAGAGAACCGGTTGTTAAATTACTTGAATCCCACCACTGATTCTATCTATCATTTAAGAAACATTTTAATAGGATTCCATTCTTTACATTCATAGCTTTTATTCAAAAAAGTGGAGACAGATTTATTGTTTATCTCTTTTGCCCTGTTACAGCTTCTTATGTTACTTTAAAATGTATTCAATTTGGAGGGAACCTGCATTTGTATCAGGAGGGGGGTAACTTGGAGAAGAGTCAACAGAAATGAACACTCCCCCCCAATAAATTTTCTAGTTTATGCTCATAGAATCAAGACTTAATATGGTCTTCAAAATCATGCAGTCCAGCAGTGTGTATCTGGACTGGAGAATGAGTGTCTCTTCCAACCCCCATTAGCACTCATGAGTAGCCATGGTGGCTGATCTATGCTTTTATGGAGTACCTATTAGAAAAAGTCAAACCCTCTCTTTCTTTCTATAATTAAAAACAAAAATGAAAAACAGTGGAGATGAAATATGATTCAGAACATCAGTAGCTGTCAAAGAAAGGTGCTAAATCTTCCATTATGGTTGCTATACAAGTTCAAAGGTGAAATCAGGTAACTTACCTCAGTATTATGAAAAACCTTTCAGCCGTATAAAACACTTGTCTTTACATGCCTGTGTATGCAGCACCTTGGGCTTTTTTGAGGAGCAGCAGGATAGAAACATGATAGAGAAATAACTAACTACACTTTAACACTGAATCTGGTACAAATGGCATGATCAGTTGAAAATATCTAATAATAAAAGTAGACAATATATGTGGTTGTTGGTGCAATAGCCAATTCTTAATAGTTTTAGAAAATATTAGAATGTTTTATTAAATAAAAAGAAAATTGAAATGAATTTGAGATTAATTTGTAATACTGTGAAATTTTAATAATTTCATACAGCTATCTGTAAAATATGTACTTGAAAATCTGAATGTTATACTACATTGATTAACAAATTATGGTCCTTATCAGTGAAGGGGGAGGGAGGCGGAAGAGATTAGGAGGAACAGCAGGAGGAATTTCCTGGGGAATATATTTTTAACTTGGAAGAGCAGATCAAGGAATGTAAACAGTTATATGTTGTTTGTATGGATATTGTTTAATGGAAAATTTCAAGCCACTTAAAAAAGCATAATTCTATCCTAACATAAAATTTATAAATTTTATAGAGAATAAATAAATACGACATGAAACAAGATTCATTTTAGACTTCTCTGAGTGTACCTTTTTGATTAGCTGTCAAAATAATATTTTTTGGTCTATGTGTTTAAAGATAATTGCAAACCTTAATTCTTATACACAATTTAATAAATACTTGCACCTCACAAAGATACTTTCCACTGATGTTTTGTTTTGCCAGAATCAAGAGTCACAAGACATGGAAGGATCAGTAATCTTTAATAAAGTATCAATGTCAAAATACATTTCTTTATTGAATTAAAAGTTGCCATACAGTTACAAGATTATCAGTAAGAAATTCAACAATAGAGAGAACATGAAATAATTATGACAATAGTTATGGTTAATATTATAAGCATGGTCTCCCTCTTCCTCAGTGTATTTTTAGTAAAAGGTTAGGGGTAAACACTTGAATGCTGAAACTACAAATAAAAATAAAATAGCAATATATGAGTGCCATTCAGGCACACAGCTCTTTATCACAAACAGATCTTTTTTGCTTCAACCACTTTAGCTCCAGAGATGTCACTGTAAATCAATGGATCATTTAAAGTGAACTATTTGAGATTAGCAGCTTAATGTGGATATTTTTAATGTTTCTTCCAAAATTAAAACTTTATTATGATAATAATTGAAAATCTGATCCAATCAAAACTCATATGAGAATCACATTAAGCAAATCAAATTTGCCGCTAAATATATTTTAGTTGAAGCTGTAATACATTGCATTTCTTTGAACATATGCATTATGACAAACTATATATATATATAAACAATACTTTAATGCTTCATAAGTCCTAATTTTTAAATACAATATTCTGATAAAACACTCTTCCTGCAGATCTGAAATTATGCCATATACTTAATTAGTTGTGAAACTATTATCACAGTCTTCCTCCACATGATATCCTCCTGATATATATTGTGGGTTCTGTATTTTTTAAAGTTGCAATCAACATTGGAGAGCACCAAGTTGAAAAAGGGTATATTATGATGGCTACCCTTTGAGAAATTCTTCCTGAAATTTGCATGGCTTTAGGCAAACACTTGGAAATGAAAATTTATACATGTCTTTCCAAAATTATGTCCTTTCTCTTTCAGCAGGGCTTACTATCATATAGGTATAGAATTATATTTGATGGCTGGGTTTGTACTTCATGTGAACCTAGAATATGCATTTTTCAGAGGCATGGGCCACATTTTGTCTCTGGACTGCTTGCTTAATAATTTCTAATTTAGTTCACTACTTTTAGATGAGACAGAGGATATTCCTGTCATCAATTCTGAAGAAGATTCAATTCTCAGTCTGAACAATTTCTGGAATTGGAGGAGTTCTATACCTCTTTATCCTTTGCTGTAAAGATTGCTTTGACTGGCCCTGATTTTTCCTCTGCCTTATATAATCCCACCTGTAGATGCTAATCATCAAGTGGCAGAATGTTAAGGCTAACATCTTGAGTGGAAGACATGCTCCAGACTTTTCTTTCACAAGTGCTTGCCCTTGGTACAATGTAGTGAGCTGTTGAGAAATGATGAAAATCCTAATTTGGGGACCAGAATAGCCTCCCGAGTATGAGTATTTCAAAATGGAGAGATTATGTCCTGGAACAAAAATAACCAGGGCACCTTTACAGCATTTCTGAGTCTTTTTTTCCATTCATTATGGAATCAATAAACAAAAGTGTAATGTTTTTTTTTAAAAAAAAGATCCCTGAGCAGACCTCATTCCTGAACACTTTTCACTTTAAAATCTTTCTGCAAACAACTTCTTTCATGAGTTTAGCTTGAAGAACTCTTTTCCAAAAATGCAAGCAAAATCTTATTTACATCACATTTAATCTGTTTTTCCCTTTTCTATTAACTTAGCTTTGGCTAGATGGAGCATTGATGTTTGTTAAAACTTCAACTTCTATGTAAGGCAGACAGGCAACTGTTTGGGGTTTACAAGGATTCCATTAATACCTTCAGTGAAGAACATGCAAAGTTCTAGCAGAGTTTTATATTTCTCATGTAGAGAAGAATGGGAGCCATATTTGTAGCAAATATGGACTAAGCGGTTTAAGGCACTTCAGCAGTAAACCACAAATAAATATAGCCCTGAAACTCTCCTTTCCCCCTTCAAAAGGTAATGATAGTCAAGATAATAGGACTTTGAGGAAAGCTTGGCTACATCTTGAACCCACTGTCTTCAATGAGCCTTAAATATTAACACATTTGTCTTTATGAGGGCAATGAGCACAAGGAGAAATATAGTAAAACTGTTTTAATTTCTAAGAGTGGAATTGAATCCCATGTAAGTACACTTCCACTTATACAACAGGATTTTTTCTCTCTCTGATTTTTCCCAGGGGCAAAGAGTCATCACTCCTTCCCACAACCTGCTCTGGAGTGTTTCCCCATAACCCCATTCTCCAATGAAACCAGTTTTACTCTAAGAGAAGTCTCTGTTTTTTAAATTTTCAATTGGTGCTAATTTGCACCAGATAATCATCTAACCAGGTGAAACTTCAGCATCAGGTAACATTTCCTGATTTCCTGACTCTACCTTGGCCTTCTAAAGCTTGTTCTAAAATTTAAAGGGTGCGCAATTGTTTTTGTGTCAAGCATCACACTGAACCTTGGGCAAGCTGGCAGCAGCTCTCCAATATGATGTCATTTCATTAACATCTAAACTGAATTCAAATTAAAGTAATAAACACAACTGATCTCTACTTGCACATTTAATAACTTTACTTTGTTTGTCTTATTAAATATTGTGTCAGCCCCAACACACCGGTAACAACTGTTTGGTAACAACTTTGAGAGGTCTCTAAGGGTTGGGTCCAAAGCTTTTGGGGGCCAGATAAGACCTTAGGGCCTCAGGTTGTACACATCTGTTCTATGGTTTTAATAAATAATTTAAATCTGCTAAATTCCTTGAGCTTATATTATTACTGAATTGAATATACAGCTGTTCCTGTTTACTCAGTAAAGGCAAACAGAACTACATGGAATGAAATGGACTCCTTCTATTTAAATAAATTCCTGAGCACCAACATATTTTCTTATAGTGTTTCTGAAAGTTCAGAATGGTCTTTTGAAAACCTACTAAAAGATTATTTGCATGGAAAGATTATCAACATTAAGGTATACTAAAAAAAAAAGTGACAAAAATCTCAATTGCACCAGAGTCTAGAATTCTTTCTATAGCATAGTAAGCAAACAAGCAAATGTATTTATTTCTGAACACAAATTGGTAGCGTGAAGGATGTGGCTGGCTAGCTGAGGGGGGAAAAACAAAAGCCTAAACTACAATTAGCAGTGTTCATGATAACCTTCAGACAATTCCTGTCATGGCATAACAAAATGATGGAACTGGAGAAAAGAATCCCAAAGAAGCATTCATAATTCAGCCTCTATTTTAAAAGATATTATAAAGTACCAGTTTGTGATAAATATTTAACCCAGGCAAAATTATCAAATCAGTATGGTGGTTGGGTCAAAACATCAGGGAATTAAAACATATACAATAATATAGGTGATTAGTATTTTTTATGACTATCCCCAATTCTCTTTTAAATTCTTGATTTAATTAGACAGATTCCGCAGAATTAATTATCATCTAAATGAGTTCCATTGATTTGGATTCTTTTCCAAAATACATGGTTAAAACCTAAAAAGTCAGCAACTTTCCCACCTATTTCAATTTAGGAAAACATTGAATTGTGGGAGTTCTCTTAAGATCAGGTGAGGAAGGCACTTTCATATTGTTTAAATCCATGGCAGGGATTGGACAGATAGCTTTGGCTCTTCAATACACAACAGCAAAAAGCATCCCTCTTTAAAGCTAAATCAGGATAAGCACTGAAGCCGATTCTCTAAGTTGCATGATCTGTGAGTGCACTTTAAGGTAATATGTAATGTTACAGAGGAAGCAGGAACTAAATGATCCATTCTCACATTTACTTCATTTTCTGTTCTTGATATGCATAGCCTTTGAATACTATTGCAAACCACTGTTTGCGTTACCAGAACATTCAGTTTTAAACAAGGACACTGACCCATATGTTAAATTAGAATACAATTTGTTATTTTCACAGGGATTAGGCAACACAGCAGTTAACTCTTAGAATTAACACAGTTTTTTCTCTTAGTTTTGGATTCGTGAAAAGATTGAAGCTTGAATTCTTTTGCACAGTAGAAAATTTAAGAAACAGTTTGGGAATGGCCATATAGATCCTCTGTTTGAATAAGGCAGTGCTGACTACCATCAGGGAAAAGATTTATTTCACTTAATCTTTGGCAAAAAATAATAATAATGACACAGTTACAATAAATTGAGCCAAAGTATTACATACAGGCATTAGCACACGCAAAGCCTTTTTTTTTTAATTAGCATGAATATTGAGGAAATTTCAGAACATATAAATTACACACAGCAAAGGGGAATAATATAATATAAATTTTCTAAGGAACACTTTATTGGAATAAAAGGAAAAATACAGTAGATGCATACTTCTTTTAAAGCAAATAAGAAAGTGAGTTAACGTTTCAGAAAGGCCACTATTTGGTAAAGTGGACAAGTTCAACAAGTAAGTAAAATCTTGTAAAAATGTAAATTGGTATTAGAAATTGTCTACTTGCAAAAATATATTTTAAAACTGCAGCTGCTTGGAACAATATCAGCCCGGGGGGGGGGCACCCAGATTTGCTCAAGTGGCTTGGTCAAGAGCTTGAAGCAAGTCACCTCCCTGCAGAAGCGTCGAACTGCCCATCACCGGGACGTTAACCTCACAGTCATATCGGGTTAATTCTGGCAACAAATAAGGTTCAAAAGAAGGCCCGAGCAGACGACTTGCAACTCCTGAGGGGGGAAAAAACAACAACAACAAAAATAATAATGCAAAAGCTTTGCAATATATTTCATACCCAAGGGGTCTTAGCAGCAGGATTGAATTTAAAAAAATGTCACATTAGTACAATAGAAGTAAAAAAAAAAAAAGCTATCAAAACTATTTTAAAAAACCCAAAAACACATTTCTACCTCTAAATGTGAAGTTATATCCTTATAGTTAATTAAACAAGGATTAAAGGACATAATAAGTGAGCAAAGAAGTCAGAGGCACAAAGTTAAAAGTATTGTAAAAGTTACAACTATTAAGGGTCTGGAAACTGTTTTTAGACTCAAATGCTAGGTGAATGGTTTACTACCTATGCCCGTGATGGTGAACCTATGGCACGCGTGCCACAGGTGGCACATGGAGCCATATTGGTGGGCACGCGAGCTCAGCACTGGCACACATGCGCGCACTGGCCAGCTGATTTTTTGGGCTTTCTGGGCCCACCGGAAGTAGGGAAACAGGCTGTTTCCTGCCTCCGGAGGGCCTGCAGGGGTGGGGAAGGCTGTTTTCACCCTCCCCAGGCTCCTAGAAAGCCTCTGGAGTCTGGGGAGAGCAAAAAAACAGGCCTACTGGGCCCACCGTGCCATCGCGTGCCAAAAGCGGGGGGAGTGTAGGGTCACGCACGCATGCGCGGGGGTGGGCGGAGCACATGGAATTATGGGTGTTGCTTTTGGCACGCGATGGCAAAAAGGTTAGCCATCACTGACCTATGCTAACATTTCTCCAGTTAATATTAGGCTCACTGTCTATGGAGATTCTCATCCATGTTTTCCCAAAGTTGTTTTTTTCAAAAGGCACTTTTTTTCCCCTTGAAGATGTTTCGCTTCTCATCCAAGAAGCTTCTTCAATTCTGACTGAATGGTGGGAACGGAAGGATTTAACGGAATGATGGGAATTCAGGTATATAAATGATCTATGCAAGGAATATAAATCCTTCCATTTCTATCATTCAATCAGAACTGAACAAGTTTCTTGGATGAGAAGTGAAACATCTTCAAGGAAAAAAATCTCCAAAGTAAGTCCAGTTGTTTTTTGAAAAAGCACCTTTGAGATATTAGGCCCACTGATCAATAATTATCCCTGTTCCCATTTCTGAAATATTTATTTGTTCTTCTCCAGTTTTCTAGCACCTCTGGTTATTTACAAAACAATGCTGCTTTTGACTTATATCAACCATCATATAGATTTCTATAGCCAGTTTATTAACTAAGAGAGATTAATCAAATTAAAAGAGACAGTCTGGTCTAGTGGATTTAGCTAGAAAGCCAAAGGCTGTGAGCTCAAGTCTCATCTTAGCTTTGAAAGCCAGCTGAGTGAACTTGAGCCAATCATTCTCTCTCAGCCCAACTCACCTCACCTCACAGGATTGTTGTGAGGAATAATAGGAGGAGGGAGGAGGATTAGATGAGCTTGTCGTCTTGAGTTATTTGTAAAAATAATAAAGGGGGGATAGGAAGAGGAAGAGGAAGAGGAGGGAAAAGAAGGGAAGAGGAAGAGAAGGGAAGAGGAGAGGAGAGGAGAGGAGAGAAGAGAAGAGAAGAGAAGAGAAGAGAAGAGAAGAGAAGAGAAGATGAAGAATAGCTATCTCAATTAATGGGAACTGGGAAGAAAAAAAAATATTCCAGAAGGTAGTAATGGCAAACCACTTCCATATTTCAGCCCAAAACAGCACAAGATCCAAGGGAACCCTAGCAACTGAGCTTTATTTATGAGACTATGGAAAAAACTTCAATTTATTTGTTGAGCAGATTGATCATGGTACCTCCTCAGTTAGAGGTTAGATTACTTTCAACATCTCAGAGTAAGAGCCCACCCCACCTACTATAGGAAATGATTTAAAGCACGCGTATCTTTCTTAAAAAGCGAAATTTTAATTACTGTATGTAATTTTTCTAAATTTGACATGACACTTACCTGACATCCTATGAGCTTGCAATACACTGAAGTCCTGATAAGGGGTTTTGTAAAAAGGTGGAGAGTACACAGCTTTGGAATTATTTGCAGAGTTGCCAGAGGACAGGGGTATATCTTGCTGTTGTTGCTGCATCACATGTGCTGGCTGGCCTGGGCCTCTTTGTAGGTTATAAAGAAACTTGTCTACAATTACAAAATTAAAAAATTGGCTTTAAAAATACTATTAGAAACAGAATGCTTCACATAGTCAAATTTATATTTTGCCTGGGAAAGTATTTGTGTGTGGTGATGGTGGTGGGGCAGATAGAAGTCCCATGTTTTTGTAAAGCAATTTCAGGAATGATGAATTATTCTCTATGGATACTTTTCAGATTGCAAACATCTGCAGAAGGAAATTAAGCAGCCAATAGAATCAATTTAATGGTGAGCATCAGTTCATAATATCTTAAGTTACAAAGATTTTTCAAGGTTAGAACTAGTTTATGTATACATATAATAGGCAGTAATGGAAGATGGAGCTATGTATAAGCATGACTAGATTAGATATTAACAATGAATTCATGCACCCAGTTTTCATTAATATATAATACAGAGATATTCTTACTCTTGGCAAAAGTCATTGAAAGATAGCTGAAAAACCTAAAGGTATTTTGACAGTTGGGTATCGACCTTGTGAATATATGATACTGAAAAGTAGGTAGAACAGCTTTGGATTATTGTTGTTGTTGTTGTTATATACTGTTATTCATTAAACATGAAACCTAGTTAACTGAACATTTAAAAATGTATTACAAATATTATTGACTGGCACTGATGGTTGATACAGGTTGCTGCCAGCATTTACGGGTTGCTTCCAGCAATTATTATTATTGTTATTGTTATGTTGTTGTTTTTTATGATGACATATCTCTTCTAATCCTAGAGGAGATAAATAGCCAACATATGGCTAGTGGCCATTATGCATTTGTCTAAGCTTCTTTTTAAGACATTTAAATTATGAATCAACATCATATCTCATGGTAATTGACAATGTATTTTAATCATGTGTTTTGTGAAAAATATTTTTCCACTATCCATCCAGAATTTCATGCCAGTTAGATTTGCTGGATGACTCCTGGTTCTGAATTACAGAAACCACTGCTGGATATTATCATTTGACCTGCCTGTAGAGTTCTCAGAAGTATCTGAATTTTCACTGTGTGAAATAACACTAGATAAGATGGTCCACTGCTGTAATTCAGCAGAACTTTTACTTTTAAGAATGATGAAGCAGAGTGTAGATAAGGTAACATAGAATTTGGTAAATATGAAAGACAAAGCATGTACATACCTCTGTTACATAATTTTTGGTATTCTGCTCACAGCCACCAAACAGTGACCTATCCCACTATGTGTGTTTTCTTTTGGTCATATATGAACCCTGGTGGCACAGTGGTTAGAATGCAGTATTGCAGGCTGACACTGCATTCTACTGCCAGGAGTTCGATTCTGACCAGTCCACAGTTGATTCAGCTTCCATCTTTCTGAGGTCAGTAAAATGAGGACCCAGATAGTTGGGGGCAATATGCCGACATTTGTAAACTGATCAGAAAGTGCTGTAAAGTACTATGGGGTGGTATATAAGTTTAAATGCTATTGCTATATTATCAATTTATAAAAATTCTTACCATTAAGGACACTTGTGCTGAGTGACTTCTTTTCTGAAAGCAATGCACAGTTTTCACTTCTGAGAATTTTCATTCTTTTCAACATTAAGTGGGTTGGATTAAGGCCGGATATGTCATCTTGTGTCTATGGTAGGTAAGGTAAAACACAAAGACTCAAAGAATGAAACTTGTACAGCCTTATATTTAAAACCATGAAAGGTAAAATATAGTGATCAGTCATAATAAATTTACCCCATTCAGATGTTGAAATGTTTGGTCCTCATAATCTAACTGCCGCTTCAATTTCAGACTGTTGGCAAGAGCTATTTGGGCTGGATTTATATCTATGCCACGCTGCCCAAAACTTTCCAGTGATCTATCAAAACAAACAATTTTTTAAAATTAAGTTGAAACAAGCTTTATTTTAATTTAGAGAAATGTGACATGTTGGTCTGAGAAATCTTTTCTTTTTCAGATATGCTCCTATATCAATGGTTAAAACAGAAGTTTGCAAAAATATTTTTACTAAGACAAAAGTGGCTAGTAGTTTAGAACAGTAGTATGAGATTCATAACTGGCACGATGATAAACATTAACAAATGCTAAACATTAATAAGGTGTGTCAATGTTAATAAAAATTGAAACATTATTTCTGTAAAATGGCCTATCAGAAAGCTGAAATGGAAAGAACAGACTGAGCTGTGCAAATTGATAATAGCACTTTATTTAACCATTGCTCAACAACTGTTTTCTGCAGTTAGTTTCTATTGCCTAAGTACTGTTGACTCTCTGGTGTGGGCAAATCACTAGCTTGCGCCATAGACATTCACTCGTTGATACCCGAAGTCAACATTAGCAGTTTGTTTATCTCTAAAGTTAATAAATTGTGCAAAGATAAATGGTGGTCTGGGAGTTGCTTGAAAACCACCCCCTCATGGATAAAGCCAATCATATGGATCCCTTCCCTATTGGCTGTACCAACCATTTATTATTTTAATTATAATTTTATTTGTCAGATTTATATATTGTTCTTGGTCAGAAACTCAAGGCAACATACATAAAATTTATTTCCATTTTTTTTCTACAACAATATTGTGGAGGCTGGTTAAACTAAGAAAAAATGACCAGCTCAAAGTAACCCAGTACTATTGGTAATCTAAGTCTCCTCAGTCTTTCTCCAACTCCTTAACCACTATCGAGGATACTGAGTTTCCTTGTGTCTTGAGTGCCTTGTTCCAAGATTATAAAACACAAGTGGATTTGGAATTCTTGCCCTTTAATTTTCTCAGGTGCAACTGGAGCAGATTCCCTATAAAGTGTATAGTCTGCAAGGTTCCTGGGAGGCACAGAGGGATGCTGGGAACAAGAATTATATTTTTTGTACTCCTCCCCTTCATTATGGTATGCTGAGGGGAAAGAACTTAACATTTCAGATGGTTTAAAGATAGGAATGTATGCTAAGCTCCTCTCAACCCAAGAGAGGCTTCAGATGGATGGCTGGATAAACACTTTGGGATACAGCCTCATTTTCTCCCTCCCTACAATGCCCTTGATACTCACACTAGATTATCACCTGGCATAATTTCCAGGGAATGTACAGTCCTCATCCTCCTTTGAAAGTATGTGGGTTTGTTAAAAGATAGTTACATGCTTGGTGCAGCTCGTGACTTTCAGGGAAATTTCAAAATAGAAATAAAATTGATTAAAAATTGTGGATCACTCAGAACTCCACCCAGCGAGTCAAGCAACACTCATTGTTTCCTCAAGTTTTCCCCTTTTCTATTTTGGATGAAAGGATGACTCTAATGAAATAAGTGGAATCCTTGCTCAGCTGCAGTGATTAGAAAAAGAGTTGTTGTACACATGCACTGTGCAAATATTCTCACAGTATGTGAGCATATTTTGAAGTTTTTTTTAATGAAGAGATATGATTATGTGCCATGAAGTCATTTTCAACTCCTAGCACATAATCTCTTTAATTGTAGCTCTGATAACTTCTTTAAAAATAGGCATACAAAACCATGACCTTTCTCTGACCCTTTGACAAATGGTTTTGCTGGGAACTTTCTATTTTTATATGATAACAAGCTTTGCTCTGATGTTTCTGTTTTATCGTTAACACATATTGTGTTTTTCATTTCTTCTTTTTGATTCAACCACTTGCCTCCACAAGCATGAATGTACAGAATGTGGAAAATGAAAAATCTAGCTATCATTTTGCTGTATTTAAACTGCTTTTGTTTATTATCTTCAAAATCCTTTTCTGTGTTGAATTACCTTTTCCTATCTGTGCTTATGTTGGGCAAATGCAGTGATGGAGAGTCTGATGCAGAGCTTGTTAAAGATTTATGGCTGATTCCTCTCCATTTTGTTGGCACATACTGTAATGGTGGGTCAGGTGGCCACTGTGTATTTGGTCTCCCACCCATTGAAGATAGTGGAGTGTTGGCTTGTGCATAGTAGGGCAGCAAGAATGAAGATGACTGACTCCCATGGTTGAAGAATGCCAGTGGCAGAGTCCCTTGGCCTGGTGGCATGCTTTTGTCAGATCCTGACTGGCAATATTTCTCTGGCAGGAAGTCGCTTTGGGAAGAGGGAGCAAGTGGTTGGAAGAGACTATTCATGTTACTTAAGCTGTGCTGGGGAAGAGGGACACTTTCACACAGAGGACGCTCCTCTTGACAGATAGGGCTCAGCTGGAAATCTTCTCCATCCATGGGAATATAAGGAGCCAAAGTTTCAAGATCCAGTTCATTGAAGTCAGTCTGTCCAATGAAAATTAAAAGGGATGGGGCAGTAAAGAAAAACAAATTTACAATTTAAAAGTAGAAAACTAGAATCCCTCTCTTCTCTCATGTCCCAGAACAATGTCTATGGCACAATATGCCTTACTCCATGTAGGATATGGCTTTGCAATTTCCCAATTTCCCAAATTTAAACCAAATTCTCCAGCCATCTAGATGTTTTAGACTACAGTACTATAGCACAATGACCAAGAATGATGGAAGTTGCAGCATCTGTCACAGTGGTGGAATTCAAATTTTTTACTACCGGTTCTGTGGGCGTGGCTTACTGGGCGTGGCTTACTGGGCGTGCCAGGGGAAGGATACTATAAAATCTCCATTCCCTCCCCACTCCAGGGGAAGGTTACTGCAAAATCCCCATTTCCCCCCGATCAGCTGGGACTCGGGAGACAAAGAATAGATGGGGGCGGGGCCAGTCAGAGGTGGTATTTACTGGTTCTCCAAACTACTCAAAATTTCTACTACCAGTTCTCCAGAACTGGTCAGAACTTGCTGAATACCACCTCTGATCTGTCAGATATGTTATATATATATATATTTATATATGTTATATAAAGAGCCCCTAGCCTGACATTGCCAGGTTGAAAATCCCAGTCTAGGGAAATGGAGATAATTTTTCCATTATATCTCTCCCATTAATGCTGAACCCCTGCACTATAACTGCTCCCCATTTTAATGAATAAGAGCAGTAGCCACTGACTCTTAACTCTGCATGGAAGGAACTGAAACAACATATTCTTTTGAGTTTTGGTTTGATGCTAATTTATTCATGGTTTCTCATACCTGTGAGCTGCATTGATTCTTGGCATCTGTGTCCATGGCAAAAAGCTTCTCAATCATCTCTATCTTCAGGTCTTCATCTAAAGAAGTGTAATAATCTCCTGGGCTACTTGGCTTTAGGATGAAATGAGAAAACAGACTATCAGCAAGTACACAAATGGCCGTAATGCAGTTAGCTGCATAGAATGAAACATCAGAAAGAAAAGACATGGCCAACTCTCCTGATGCTCCCATTTTTTAGCTTGGAGATGCAAAGCTGTGTCTTGCTTCACATTCAAAATATGATGCAAAAATGATGACAGAAACAGAGAACACTGGATTGTGCTTCTTTTTCTCCTTCTGCTGATTCAGGGATCAGAGCTGATTTAGCCAAAACTCCAGTGAGTGAGAGAATTGTAAACTGGGTCCCACTGCTTTCTGGCCTTAAAGGTTGATATATAATCAGATGAGATAATAGGAAATATTTGCATTTCTGTATGGGAGCACTTCTTTCCCGATCTTGCTTTTGTATTTACTGGTGACTTTCCATATTAACCTCTTAAGGTCTGGGAATGACTGCTCCCCTTTGAAGCTACCGGTGTGTGTGTGTGTGTGTGTGTGTGTGTGTGTGTGTGTGTGTTTTACTAATACATTCTCTGAAAATGTCATTCCTTCTCTCTCATTTTTATGTTCTGAATGAAGTAGAATTACACTAAACTAATCTCATCCACCATCAGCCTTTGATATTGGTTTTGAATTCAGTGGATAAAGGCAACTGGAAGTAATTCCTTTTTAAAAAAAAACAATTTCTACTATAATTCCAGTTAGTGCTGGTGAAAAAAAACACCCCACACTTCAAAGCTGGCAATGTTGCCAGATTTCAATGCAAAGTTCTTTCTTACGGTGGAACAGCTGCTGTTGCTGCTTGCACTGGGTGTACTGCTGCCAGGTGCCGCTTGAGGCAAGGTAAATGATGGCACGGTCAGCTTTTCAGTCTGGGATGCCTGGTTCTTCCCTTCTGGAGCCCACTGAGTGTTTGGAGTCATCACAGCTTTGTTGTAGGCAGGAATTTCCTCAAACTTTTGCGTTCCTGAAATTGAGGCAAGCAAGGTCAGCTCATCCTTGGTACTAGCAATCCTAGTACTTTTTTAAGAAAAAGAAAACAAATTGAGAAATATATTCAGATGGGGAAGCTTACTTTACTCCCCAAATAGTGGATAGCTAAATTTTAATTTAGTGGGAGATATTAAGCCTCATTCAGTGGTCACTAATGCTTCTTTTATAAATTTGAAGTTACTGATATGCCAATAAATGACTTTCTTTAATCAATCAATACCAATCAGGCAATTAACCATACTTCCACTCTGCTACAATCAAAATAACTCTTGGCTGTTTGTACTGATTAAAATATCCACAGTTAGAGTAATAATCAGTATGAAACATAATAATTATCCATCCATCCATCCATCCATCATCTATCATCTATCACTGTGTTTATCTGATACTTTGTGGGAGATGCTACAATCTACTAGCTCTCTTGTGGTTAACTACTATACAAACACAAGATGATTTTCACCACTTATTCTTCCCAAAATATTACTAACCAAAGTCAAGAGAAATAATTGCATCGCCTGGTGTTGGTGCCAACTGAGCAAGTTCTTCTGGTTCTTCCTTCAGCTTGGTGAATAAGAAGTCACTCTTATCAGCCACTGGAATTCCATGGTCATATATAGAGTTCATGGCCATCATATGAGGCTTAAAAAGTGATTCTGTCTGATCCAAGGAGAATACAATGTCGTTGTTCTCTATTTCACTAACAAGATAAAGTGTTAGACATTTTGTATTATGGAAGACAGTATTCATATAAATACAAAGGATAACAATAAGAGTTAACCAAAGATCTGCGGACAACTAGATATTGTTGGCTTACAACCATCTCTGGTTCTGGGATTCTCCAACAGAATATGCAGGGCCACAGTTTCCCTACTCCATACTTGCCCTGTTATTTGAGGGATTTGCATATAGCTTCATAAAAAAGTGTCTAGGGAGATTCCCAGTCATCAAGGTAATGGCTGTCTCAAATGTGCTTTCTCAAAAAGCAACAGGATTTTGTTTCTTTTCTTGAGGAAGACATTACACTTCTCATCCAAGAAACTTCTTTCAGGTCAATTCAGTTCCCACCATTCGGTCAGAACTGAAGAAGCTTCTTGGATGAGAAGTGAAACATCTTCCTTGAGGAAAAAGCATCTTTGAGACCTCCTACAGAAACATGCACAACTGCTCAGATAATATTACTTCTTTAACAATTCTCATTTAGCTAGCATTCTTCGGGATTTTAGCTGCCTTACCTTAGAACATAGTTAACACAAATTATGCACTGAGGCTGCAAGTTCCGAGTATTGTAAATGACTGTTCCTTGGGTCTCAAGCCACACATAGCCACCATGCTTGGCAAGCATGCGATACTGCCCTGTAATCACTTGACCTTTTCCACATACTGGAGAAAGACAAGGAAAGGGAAACGTGTAAAGAAGAGAAATTGCATTTCAATATCATTTTCCAGTATTATGGCACCTTGCTAAAATCATCAGAAATTTGTGGCACCACAGATCTGTTAAAGTATTAATTCACTTGTAACAAAGTAAGGAGCAGCAAGACAATGTAAAGGCCCACTTCAGTTCTCAATTCTTGCAAGCTTTCAATTGATCTTCCTTTTCTAATGGTGCATCTTCTCAAAGAGGAGAAGATGCACCAGGCTGATGAGAGAAATCAGCCATCTCCATTATTCCCATTGGCATTTCTATCTGGCAGAAGTCAAGTCTTTGATGGATTTCAGTACTTCTGTATGACCTCTGTGGCAGTTTCCCAGGGATCACAGAATTCATCTGATTCCCTTCTTGAGATTAGATGCAGTTTCCAGGATTGGATTCCCTGGATTGTCATTTTCCCCAGCTTTGAAGCTGGCTTAATTCTGATTTAGATGAGAATTTAGGCAGTTATTGGACCAGTAGAAGTATAATGTATTTACCATAGTTACAACCAATGATAGGCTATGTAAACCTCAAAAGAACAACAATAAAGGCAAGAAGTACAATAATTATTGCTTGATGGGTTTGTAAATATTGTAAATAATGTTTTGATTTATTGTTTTGATTATAAAGAGCTGCGGTGGCACAGTGATTAGAGTGCAGTACTGCAGGCTACTTCTGCTGATCACCGGCTGCCAGCAATTTGGCAGGTCGAATCTCACTAGGCTCAAGGTTGACTCAGCCTTCCATCCTTCCGAGGTCAGTAAAAATGAGGACCCAGATTGTTGGAGGCATTATGCTGACTGTAAACCGCTTAGAGAGGGCTGTAAAGCACTTAGAAGCGGTATATAAGTCTAAGTGTTATTGCTATTGCTATTATAAATAGTTTTGTGTTCATTCTAAATCATATTGGGAATAATAATAATAATTTTATTTCTATACCGCCCTTCTCCCGAAGGACTCAGGGTGGTGTACAGCCTATTTAAAAACACAAAACAAAACAACGATTAAAATTTAAAATGATTAAATAGATTAGACTCAAATTAAAATCCCAGAAATTTAAAATACCCCATTTTAAAATTATTATGTTGATAGCCCGGCCTGGCGGAACAACAGGGTCTTCAGTGCGCAGCGAAACACCCGGAGGTCGGAGATCTTACGTATTTCCGGGGGCAGTTCATTCCACAGGGCTGGGGCTCCCACAGAGAAGGCCCTCCCCCTGGGTGTCGCCAGCCGACATAACTTGGCCGATGGCACCCTGAGGAGACCCTCTCTGTGGGAGCGGACTGGTCGGTGGGAGGCTATTGGTGGCAGAAGACGGTCTCGGGTCCTATGCCATGGAGCGCTTTAAAGGTGGTAACCTTTATAAAATTATAACAGAAACCTGATATATAAAATAACCAAGCAAACAAATTTTGCTTTGAGGAGGGACAAAAGTCCTGCCCCACATCAGTAATTAGAAATATCTCCCTCCCATCTTGACATTATAAAGACTGCAAAATTCTTGCAGGATTTAAATCCTAGCTTTCAAAATACTTTGCACAATTTTGCAAATGGAAAGTCTGAGAGGCTCTAAATCTGGGACTTGCTTCTGAGTAGATATTCATCAAATTTTATTATTATAATTCATACCAATGTGGTGTTATGATGGAGATTCTAGGACTAGAACTGGCAAAATCCAGGTTTGGGTCTGCCCTTAGCTAGGGAGACTGACTGGATATTTATGGGCCAATCTCTCTCTCAGCTCAGCCTACTTACAGTGTTTTTGTTCTGGCAAAAATGCAAGTATAGAGTGGTATGTAACCCATCTTGAGCTCCCATTTAGTGTAAATAGATGTTACTAAGGAACGGCTTAATAAACAGGACTATTATAGAAACAATAGCCTGGGACTTTTCTGAGATAGCCATAGAACCTTTTTAAGGTGAACAAATAGCCATACTAAATCCTTTGTTTATGTATAATCTACAAAGCGCTCCTCTAATGTTTTTATTGCATCCCTTTATTGGTGAAGTTCTGCATTCAGAATAATCTTGCTCTTAAAGAGATTATATTTTGATTATTAGATTAGTGAGGTGCATAAACCAAAAAAAAAATCAAAGATTTTGTCTGAAAACCATTTAAGCAAATGGCTTCTGTATCTGTGAAACATTATTACACGGGATTCTTAATAGAGAACTCATTAAGGCATCATCAGGTGATGTGCCTGTTAACATTACTCAGAGGAGTTTTAGTGCTTTCATCTTTAAAAGAAAACAAGTCACACCATGTTCTGATACAACAAGTTGCTGTTACAGATGTGTTAGTGGAGAATGATATCTAATGGTGGATAAATAATTCTTTCATTTTGGGCCAACTGAAGGGTGACTGCTAGCTGATCCCTACAAAAAAGGAAACACATCACTGAACAGTTTTCCGTACAATCTGCAATAGCCACCTTTAATATATTGGGTGTTAGCAACAAATTTGGCCTTCCATTGCTCACTTACAATTTCTAGTAAATTATAAACAAGCTAAAAAAATACTGCTATTAATTTGCAATTAGTAGTGAACTCTGAAACGGGGTGAGGAGACTCTTGTAAAACAGGCGTCTGGGAACACCTTTTCAACTAACTGATGTTGTTAAAAAGGCTGAAAAGTTTGCAATTCTCTTCATTAATTCATTTTAGACTATAGTTAAATGCAGACTTCATATTTTTAATACAAGCTCTTTCCCCCTCCCCTATGCCTTTTGATTAGTGTACAGTATTGTCTGGAGTTTTGATAACTGGAAATCTTGCACATTGTGAGTTGGCTTATTAAAGATACTGCCCTAACATACTGAATTTAGAATGCTGTTTTCCACCCCTCCTCTGATTCAAGTTTTCACAATGAACTGTAGTCATAAATAGCTGAATTTCTGGAAGGAGTCTAGTCTGTGATGCTATTGTTAAATTCAGAAGTGGTTACCATAAACCAGGAAGCAGGAACATGCATTAGATTAAGCCATATTCTTCAATATTCCAATTTTTCCAAGACTCATGATAGTTTTCTACTCTGTAGCAATTGTTTTGGAACATTTCCTCCCCCACCTTCTTCTTTTTACTTCTTCTTTTACTTCAGATTAAGGAATGTGATTTTATAGTTTTTAAAAAAGCAGATATTTTTCTTCTGCATAAATTTGAATGTTTACATTTTATACAGCTATGCAGGTGAACATGCAGTTAAGGGACATTAAACTGCAACTTTACAGCTCAAATTACAGCATGATCTCCTAGAATCTAGAATTGGCACTTAATTGTTTATGCTTGCCTGTAACAGGAATTATTTTATTTATTTATTTTATTAAATTTCTATACCGTTATATTTAAAATTTATGAAATATCATGGGTATTCTCCTAAAAGGGCTGCCATGAAGTTTGTGATCAGTCACAAAGCACTCATTTAAGCAAACCAGTAAGACCACAAACCCCCCTCCCCCATGAATGTATGTTAATACCTCGTTTTCAGTATATAATCTTTTCCTCTACTTAACTTAATGCTTGTTCTTAAGGGGGGGGGAAAGCCATAGGAAAATTGAGACACCATTCTGCAATGACAATGTATAGGCAACTATAATTAGCATTTATTTTTAGATATTACGTTACAAGCTACAGTGAGAAACAATATGAAAGGAACTAAGAGAGATGAGAACGGGCAGCAATAAAAATAGAACAAGCTGCAATCCTGCTTTCATTTATCTGAGGGTTAATAAATCTTGATGAGAATGACTTCTGAGTCATACTGATTTCTGAGACATACATAGGATTGTGCTGTTAATCTTTTTTGTTCTAAATATACAAGCATTAAGAAAGGAAGAGTTTATACAGCCTGGCTGCATGAGTTTCTATAGACTTCTAAAACATGGCCATCCATAGATTGGCCTTCTGGTGCCTTGTGCAGCTCTCTGAATCTTGGCAAATAGACATCTTTTAAAGGGTCTCTAACATTTCTCCACCAAAGCACTATTTTTATTATTATTAGTAGCATATGGTGTTATTGCATTAGCCAGGAAACCACAATGCTATTACAAAGTAGTAGTTTGGCTGACCATTTACCAGCTCCATTGTAGGACATGTCACGTGCTTCCCAAGGTGCGCCACAGGAGGGCAAGCTGGCTTTGCATCAGAGAGGAAGACGAGCAGCTTTCCTGCAGCATTATCGAAGGTCCCCTCCCTTCTCTGGACTTGTCTTGCAAATAGGCGCTGCAAGTGGGAAGGTTCAGAGCCGGCAGGAATCTACCTGCCTGCATGGAGTACCAATTTGTCTCCCCACTGAAGTGGTACCTATTTATCTACTTACACAGAACATGCTTTTGAACTATTAGGTGGATTGAAGCTGAGGTGATTGATGGGAGCTCACCCTACCACACAGTGCTAGGACTCAAACCTCTGGAGCAGACGCCATCTCTATTAAGCCACTGAGCTGCCCCTACCAAAACACTGAGCAGAGGATTGGATTCAGTAACCTAAATAGCCCTTTATTTCTTTTTCTGACAACTCACTGTATTACTCAGCAGACTGGTACCCATATATGAATTCTTCAGGTTGTTTTTCCTGTAACATGTTTCACACAATTATTTGTTTATTTATAGTTTCATAAAACCCTCCACTTTTTCCTTTGCCCTTCATTATTAATTTTCTCCTCCCACCCCACCCCCCAAACTGCCAAATCCCTAACATGGGTAAATCCTTTTACCCATTTCCTGTTAGTATTTATAACATTTATCGAATACCATTCTTACTTTAATGACATCAAGGTAGTTTTTTGTTTATTTATTTTCTGCTTGAGAAAAACTGACTTTCCAATTACAAGCTAAAAGCAGTAATAACTTTTATGGTGCTTTAAAAACTCACAGATATATTGCACAGTTAGCAAGGGTATTTATTTATTTGTTTGTTTGATAATGATATTTGAAGGAAATCTGAGTACAGAATAACCCTTAGAGGCTTAAAGGAGAAAACCCTACATATCCAGATAAACATATTCCCTGTTACTTAAAACATAACCAATAGTGTCTCCACAAGCATCCTACTGGAGGGCCTGGAACAACAGTCAAATTTTTAAAGACTCCCTGAACAATATTAGAGTGGTAGCCAATGGATGTCTGGGGATACAGTATCTCATTCCAAAGGGCAGCACAATTACTGAAAAGGAATGCTTCTTGGCCCTGATAGATGATATTGTTTGACCCAGGAGATCTGAAATGCACTACTGCCCAATTTAATTGGGTGGACAGAAATAACCTGACCCTATGCCATGGATGGTGGCATATTTGCATCTGTACAGGTAATGATCAGTGATGAATGATGAAAAAGTATCCAGTCTGGTCGGTCACCAGGACCAAAGATTTATTCTTCCAAGCTTTTAGTTCATCATCAGGGAACTTCTTTTTTTCAGGAATGTGCACTGGACTGTTCTACATGTTATATTTATATGGTTCCTGTTCTGTGCAGTTTTTAGTTGTTAATTAGAGTATTGATGGCTGGCTATTAAGTCATTAATTGTTGCCTTCTGCCACTGCATCCTCGACTTCCAAGTACTTGTTAGGCAGCACTCCTATTGACTGACAAGGGGCCTGTTTCCCAGGCTTCAATCATTTTTCTGGCTGTTTTTGTCCCTGCTCAGCCAACAATCATAGCAGTTGCAAAATTGAATGCAATGTCCTTGTTCATTGCAATGTGAGGCTATCACTGAGTTTGAGTCATTGGTAAGAAAGTTTGGAAAACTGGAAGACCTGGTGACCACTCAGACTGAATCTTACAACATTATCCTGGGACGCATGTATTCACCTTTATCCGCAATGAGGAAACAGTTGAATTCAGCAATGGATAATGTGGCTTCAGAGTCACATGGAACTCCCCTATCAATTTAAGGATATCCCACACCAGAGGTTCCTTCTGATTGCACTACCAATTTTTGCTTATTGATAAATAGGTGCTTAACACCTAAAACTCCTCCCCCTCAAATAAGAAGGAAAGAGACATTTGTTTAATCTCGCCCATGTGCAGGAAGTCTATCTGCATTCTCTCCTGACCTAGTGACAACAGTAATGCACAAGTTATTATAAAAAAAATTGGCCTTTCCAGCTTTTTGTTTTCTTAAATAATATGGTCACTTTTTGAAAGGACTGGTTCTCAACATTAATTATTTTCCAAATCACACCATTTACAGGAAATTGGAGACATTCATGTAGCCTTCTATACAGATGTCTGTAGAAATACAACTCCAGCCGGGGTCCCTGACATGCAAGCTTCTGTGAAAGAGACATAAGGCTCGTAATCTAGATGATGATGACGACGACGATGATGATGATTATCCTGGCTGACTAGAGTCATGTTCAACTCATGCTTCACCTAATAATTATAGTTTTTGAGGGTGACTTACAGTTTTGATGACTTTTGGTCATACTCTCAGAATCCAGTGCATGATAGAATTCATACGCAGAACGGCCCAGCAGCTCCTCAGGATGATATCCAATTAATTCCGTTATCCTTTACAAAATATACATATATTACTTACATACTGACTTTAAAAGGGAAAACCCTACAAGAAGAAATTATTGAATACATTATACCCGTAGTCTGTTCTTGTCAAATCTACAGAAGTGGTAATCAAGTGCTGAATAATCCAGGTAACTGCATGTAACACACATTTCATTTAAAACAAGAGCTGTTTAATGCACTATCTTACATATTGGTCAGATCTGTAGTCTTAGCCTAGCATTAATAAGGGTTCCTGAATGAGCAGGATAATTCCTGTGACTGGGTTAGATAATGTTTTATAGATTTGCACTGCATCTCCTATCTTCTAGTCTAAGGACTTCTAGGTGACAAAAGGTGTAAGTCTCCAGAGTATTTATGATTAGGAATTCAAATCCAGACTCCAAGCTATCATCAGACACATTGCTCATAACTTTTGGCCATGGTTATACTTCTCTTTCCCTCTCACATAATATCATTTTTTACTTGAACATGGTGCAAACATTGCACCTACATTACAGTTACCTATGATAAGCTTTAACCAAAGTTTCCAAACTATTGCAAGTCAATTATATTACATTATCAATAAAACCTACATAATGGGACTCTATGGAGGACTTCAAAGAGATATAGAATAATGAAATTTGCAAATTAAGGAGGATCATATTTGATTCATATTTTGATTATCTCTTAGTCCTAGGTAAGAAATGAAGCAACATTCATGTCTCGGGATAATAACTACAGCTCTGATTACTCTTGAAACAACTGACTGGAAGAAAGCCATGGGGTGAGGTGGAATTTAATAAATACTGAATTAAAAATTGAACGTTTGACTTTTATTCCTGTTTGAGGTCATAATTTACACAGTGTTGACGTTTTCAGTTGGAATTTATAGCTAGGAATTAGCTCATTGTTTTTGGTATTTCCTTTACTAAAGCAAAAATTAAACAAACAAATACTAGGCAAGCTACTAACACTGAGATTGTCCCAGATCTCCACGAGAATCATCTGCTGTATTTTATGCAATAATGCTTCCTAACATAAATTCCACAAAGATTTTCACACAGTGACTCTGATCCTTGCATCATCAATGTAGAAATCAGTACTAGACTAAATCAGTGGTGCTGTGAAGATTTGTTCAAAAATCACATACATAGGATTATCTTTTATTAAATATAACACGTATCCTATATTAAAATAATTGCCGTCATTAAAAACAAGGCCTTTTTCTCCTCCTCCTCAACATATCAGGATAACCTTGTTAACATTGTGTATAGTTTTGATCATATCTAAGTCAGGCACATGAATCCTATTATCTGTATAGTATAATTGGATAAACTCTTTAAAAAACTGTGAAATGAAAAGACTACAATAAGGTTACTCCCTCCCCTTTGAACTGCATCACTCCTAGTTGACGTTAAACTTACAAAGCCAGGAAATAAAACCTTAGAACAAATACGGCGTCTCCTCTGCCTGAAAGCACGTAGTTGCCATTATCCCTAATGACGGTAACACTGTCATTATTCTCATAAGGATTGTGATTTTTGTGCTGCCCTGAAGGAGTCTGGCTTTTCTTTTTCTTCCTCTTTTCCCTCTTTTCATGCAATTAAAGGGCGCTTTCATTCAGCCACTAGTTTTGCCCTCCTACCCCCCACAGCAGTTTTCAACCTGTAAGAGTGTTTTTACTGCTGATCTTGTGAATTGTGGTTGGTAACTGAGGAAGGAAGAAAATAGAAAGTCCATCCAGCTGACCCACAGAAGAAGAGTCATCATTTTGCCCAAGTGTTTGCTCACTACATTTGCTTTTCAGAATTAGAAAAATATGCCGGGGACTGTGCAAAGAAGACTTCCCTACTGTAATTAAAGCATGGGGAATGGTGGTAGGTGCTATAATGCTTGCTTCAAACAGAGAGCAGGGAAGATTCAGAGCTGGGGTTCAGAACAGTGGTGGGTTTCAAAAAATTTTACTACCAGTTCTGTGGGCGTGGCATGGATTGGTGGGCATGGCAGGGGAACGATACTGTAAAATCTCTATTTCCTCCCCAATCCAGGGGAAGGCAAAATCCCCATTTCCTCCCAATTAGCTGGGACTTGGGAGGCAGAGAATAGATGGGGGCGGGGCCAGTCAGATTTTTTTACTACTACTCAAAATTTCCGCTACCGGTTCTCCAGAACTGGTCAGAACTTGCTGAAACCCACCTCTGGTTCAGAAGCCAGGAACCAATAGACAACTATAAACCCTGCAACTCCATAGGAAACTCTGCAACGTCAGCATTAAGAATTCAGTATAAGCATATCGTTTAGTTGTCTTGCTTCATAAGGTATGGGTTGCTGGTTGCAATGCAATGCTCTCATGGCAATTATCTCCAACAAAGAGTCAATGAAACAGAAAGATACTGGTTTTTGGTCAATGACAAACAGAAGATTGCAAGAACATGTTAAAGAACAAAGATGGGTTACAATTTATTGTTATTTGTTCATTTGGTGGTTACAGTAGAGTAGCCTGCTTTTGCCATGTAATAATGCATAAATTGCCATGGTATAATGTGTGAAATGACTTGAACTGCAACAATACTAATATATATAATAAACAGTGGATGTGGCAGTATCTGGAGACAGCAGAATAGAATAGAAAGAACTGGGGAAGATAACAAAATACAAATACCTGCAAATAGAAATAGAATGAATGTAGCAGAAGAAAGCAATAGTAATAGGTGCCTTGGGTGCAATCCCAAAATAAACAGAGCACCATTTGAACATCTTTGGCCTTGACAAAGTCACCATCAGGCAATTGCAAAAGACAGCTTTATTCGGAACAGCTTACACACTGTGATGATACCTTTAATACCATCAAACAGCAACATCTCCCTATCCCAGGTCATCGGGAAGGACTTGATAGACAGTTAAAAATGCCAATTCAGTCTGAACATCTTGGTGACCACACAACAAACCATAATAATAATAACAATGGTTATGAAACATGTAAGTTTCTCATTTCAATTCAGTTAATGCAGGAGTAAGATCCAGTAATATTGCTTAAGGTGCAGTTTTACTGCTGTAAGCCAATTTCATTTTTATATGGCGCTGTTAGTATCTTGTCTCTTTGCCTAACTTTGACATTGGTCATCCTAACTTCCTTTTTGGGAAATGCCAAGTCACATCAATGCAGAATTAAGGCAATTACCGATTTCCCAAATATGTGCACTTTTATATGAGCAACTCTCAGGGCTATGACATACATTCAACAGGGTGTATATTTTCCAAATCAGCCTATTTCAGGGTAGCTGGGGTATTACCATTTAATGTGACTGTCTTTTAAAATGTTAAAATAAGTACCATTCAGGAACTTTTTCTAGTGCTGAAAGACAACATTACACATTTTAGTCATTTCATATACCACTTTATTTTAATCTTATCTTTTCAACCTGCATCAAACCTCCTTCACGTGGCATTAGCCTCTGAAATACATACACCTTTAAAGCACTTCTTATAGTACATATATCCTGTGGAAATGTCACGTCAACGGGATCATATGTATTATTGGAATAGAAGATCTTTTGGACAAAGGAGGTGTTATTTCATTGCCTTTTCATCCATTCTCACTAAGACCATGTCTGCAAGATGGCAAATAGCTGTTTAGATCCTAAATGTCAGAGGACAATGGGTATGTTCTCAAAGAACAGGCAAAGCGGAAAATAGGAAAATTCTACCCCTGACTTATATTATACTGAAATATTATCCAAGGATTATGACTTCTGATAATTGGATAAACTATCCATATGCTCTTGTTAATATTCAGCTCATCTTTAAGCAGCATTAACCTTGAGGCACTACCCCTTTAATTACAAACCTGGCCTTGTCTAATTTTTAGAAATAAATATTGTAATTGGTTAATTTTATTCTACTCCCCATAAAACATGATGCACTACAAGTGTTTCTTCTTCAGCCCTTTGAGCCACCTGGGCTACTCTAGGCTGTTAGGCTACTCTACTGAAGTAGCCTAACAAAGAGGTACTAGTAGAGCTTTGCTTATTTCTGAAACCTACAGAACATTCAGAATCAATGCTTTTTAAAGACTTAATGCATACAGACTGCAGGCATGGAAATCACATTAGCTTGGTCCATGTGGCACAAAGCACCAGATGTGATGATAAATGGCCTGTCAATCTCATATCATTTACTTCATCCCTTTCAAGTGGCACATGGTTCACGAACAGATAAGAGATGCAGCAACAGACCTGAAAGAAAGTATTCAGACTCCTAAGCTACTGCATGTGTGGCTCCGTGTCTAGGAGTCTCTATCTGTACTGTGCAAAATGACAGTTCTGCCCCAAATTTATCTCCTCTATCTCCAGAAGATATAGTCAAATTGACACTGACCTCTCATCTACATTTTGTATGCTTTTTTTGGGGGGGGGTATTATATTTTTTAACCCCCACCCCCCAAACATCATTCACTGCCATTAAGAGTTTGGAGTTGCAACAGTGTGTGATATCAGTAGAAACAGAAAGGAAAATATTGTAAAAGAGTTGTTGGTTTCTGTGACAGGCCCGATTAATAAAAAGAAATGAAACCCCTACTTTTCATTTATCCTAGCTTCATGTGGAAGTCTTTATCCTTGCCTAGTTTATGTGGAAGTCTTTATCCTTGCCTTTTTTGGTAATGGGTAAGAAGTTGTCAGAGTTTAACTATACTGCTAGCAGAAACTATAAAAAATGGCAAGGCATTAGGTAGTCCTCAACCTACAACCACGTGTTCAATGACTGTTCAAAGTTGTTGCCGAATAAAAAGATTTCAAAAACCATCCCCCAAATTAAAGTACAATTAGAATCAGAAACTTTTTTTTTTTTTTTGCTGAAACTAATGGACAGACAACTAGAAAAATAATCATGGAACTTTGTTTTTATATATGATAACTTCAGCCAGAATATTACATGCTCAAAAATGGAAAGGCTCAAACCACCCACATTGGAGAAATGACTGGTGAAAATGATGGAGCTTGCAGAGATGG